TGCTGAAACCCCCCCAAAAAGTATCATTTTTGGCTCAGATGTGAAGCTGAGGTCAGAGGGCAGGTCTGCAGAGCAGCTGCACAGCCCTTCAGGGGGGCCAAAACCATCTCATTTATGACCAACCTCAAACTGAAACTGTGCAGCCACCAAGGCCAGGAGGCACCACAGAGCAAACGTTCCTCTCACACAATTCCAGATGTTTTTTGCTGCCTGCAGGGAGCTCAACATCTGTCCTGGCAAGGGATCACAGGCCCACGGGCTGAGCTGGGCTGGAAGGACCTCAAGGATCATCCAGTCTTGAAGTCACAGCCCAGGTACTGACAGCACCAGGGAGCAAGACTTGACACCAGGAGTTCCAAAAATCCTTAGGAGCTTCTCCAGGGTCATTTACGAGTCCTGCAGGGGGGGCTGGAGAAACATCCCATCCTGATCCACACATCCCAGCAAAGCAGGGTGCAGGGGGCTGCTCACTGCTCTGCCACGCAGCCACATCACAGAACCATGGAATGGGGTGGCTTGGAGGGACCTCAGAGCCCACCCAGTGCCCCTCTGCATGGGCAGGGACACCTCCCAGCAGCCCAGGCTGCTCCAAGCCCCATCCAACCTGCCCTTCAACACCCCCAGGGATGGGGCAGCCACAGCTTCCCTGGGCCAGGGGCTCCCCACCCTCCTTGTACCACCTTTTCCCCAGGTCTCTCCCTTAGCCCCAAGTGCCATTTCCACTTTCCACTGAGGCTCTTCAGACATTTCCACAAGGGACAAACAGCCCAGAAGGATCTAAAGGGGTCTCTGACTGGGGAGGTGGGGAGAAGCTGCTGTTGTAGGTGAGATGTTCCCCCCTCTAAGCTTGGCAGCTCCACAGCCCTGACATGGCACAGCTCTCAGGAAGCCCCCCTGGGGTCTCTGCTCAGCAGGGCTGGATCTGAACAAATTAAACCCTCTGCCCCCTGCCTGGGCAGGGACACCTCCCAGCAGCCCAGGCTGCTCCAAGCCCCATCCAACCTGCCCTTCAACACCCCCAGGGATGGGGCAGCCACAGCTTCCCTGGGCTCCCCACCCTCATTGTACCACATTTCTCCCTGTCCCCAGGTCTCTCCCTTAGCCCCAAGTGCCATTTCCACTGAGAAATTCAGCTCTTCAGACATTTCCACAAGGGACAAACAGCCCAGAAGGATCTAAAGGGGTCTCTGACTGGGGAGGTGGGGAGAAGCTGCTGTTGTAGGTGAGATGTTCCCCCCTCTAAGCTTGGCAGCTCCACAGCCCTGACATGGCACAGCTCTCAGGAAGCCCCCCTGGGGTCTCTGCTCAGCAGGGCTGGATCTGAACAAATTAAACCCTCTGCTCAGATTCCTCAGCTGATCCAACCTCTGTGGTGGAGACCATGAGGATGTGGAGCCACCAGCTGCTGGCAGGGACCTCTGGAGGAGACCTGCCCTTCTGCCTGCAGGAGCCCATCTGTCCTTTAACTTCTGCTTTGCCTGCTCAAGCTGCCTAATTGCTGTCTTCAGTAATTAATGAGTGAGCTGGAGGAGCTGGGGTGTTGAGCCTGGAGAAGAGAAGGCTCCAGGGAGACCTGAGAGCAGCTTCCAGGGCCTGAAGGGGCTCCAGGAAAGCTGGGGAGGGGCTTGGGACAAGGGCAGGGAGGGATGGGAGCAGGGGGAAGGGTTTCCAGCTGGCAGAGGGAGCTGGAGCTGAGATGGGAGGGAGAAATTCTGGGCTGTGAGGGTGGGGAGCCCCTGGCCCAGGTTGCCCAGGGAAGCTGTGGCTGCCCCATCCCTGGGGGTGTTGAAGGGCAGGTTGGATGGGGCTTGGAGCAGCCTGGGCTGCTGGGAGGTGTCCCTGCTCATGCAGGGGGTGCTAATCCAGGCCCCTCATCCTTCCTCTTCCTCCTTCCCCCACCAGATCTCCCCACATCTGCTGTTCTGCCTCAAGTTATTGCCCATCAAACCACTCTCAACAAGGTGCTGCCCAACTCTGGGATCAGTTTTTACCCCCAGTTGCTACACGAGTTGCTCCAGAGTCACCTTTTCACTCATTTACAATTTATAAGTACATAAATTAATTTATACAAATGTAATTTATAATTATATAAATTCATTTCTACTTTATGCATTAACAAATGATTATCTGGAGAAGCCAAGTGGCTTCATTGCCCTGAATAACTGATGGAACATCCTCCATCATTTATGGAAAACAAGGGATGAAATCCAGGCAGGCTGGGAAGGGGAGTCAATCCCACAGCCACACTGCACCCTCCCCCCCTGGCAATGTATGTAATTAATTAATTCACTCAATT